GGACTTTGTGACTAACTTTTTCTCTCTCTCTTCAGCCTCTCTTCACACAGTCAAGAGCCTCTGTAACTTGTATGAAGGAGCCCCTAGGCAGGGATAGCTATGGGCCTGACTGGTTGAGAAGCACTCCTTTAAGGTATTTAGGGTGCAGATGAATGACAGGAGAAATGTTTCAGGTTTTAAGTACATCTTTAGATTTGGAGGTGCAGAGTGAAACCAGGTGGGGTTTCTGAGAAGATGGGAGCAACTGGAACTCAAAGCTGCTTGGTGTGACATGCTGCAGCACAGGGACCATCTGGAGTGAGGTCTCACTCTGGAGACCTGTGACCTCTCTTGGGTGAGATTGCCTGTTCTCATGTCACCATAATGCACCATACTGCCTCTGCTGTGGTCTCAATTTATAGCACTACACTGGGCTATATAAACATGTCCCACATTCGTCAAAGCATATCTGTAACTTTTGCACCATCCTGAGGTCTGAAAGATTTCAGTGACTTTGTTACCTTGCATTTCTTCAGTGAGGCCAGAGAGGAGAGCTTTGGATGCTGCTCAGGACAGAGGCTTTATTCCTCTTGAGTCTTGAATACCAGTGAAGTAAACCATAAAGTTTTATGCCCACTAAGTAATAATACTCAGCTTTACTCATCACTAGCTTTCACTAATCAAATATGAAAAAGAATACACAAACCTAAACAGAGCCACATTAAAATTTGTAGCTGTCCAGCAGAATGAAGAAACAGTTCTGCTGCTTTCTACTCTCACAATAAAAGTTTTACAGTAAGAACAAGTAAAAAATCAATCTGAAAATGGACTAAGAGCCAAGGCCTGAGACAAATTTCTAGCTGAAATATGTTTTCCTGAAGCCAAAGAGGACTCAGATCCTAACCAAATGTCTTAAGTTATTTATCATATTATCATAATATTGTTAAGTAAGCCATAATGTGTTTCAGTAGGCAAGCATGAAGAACACTCCTCAAACTGTGAACTTCAGAAAATGCACAGCTCAATTTAATTTTACTGTGTGTCCCATCATTCTTGTGCTGTTGGAAGCTGCAAATGATCATTCCACCTTCACATCTCCTGAACCCCTGGTTCAAGAAGGCTGTCTCTGGTTGCCTCACTAGCTACTGCTTCTGAACCATCACTATCATTCATTTCATCCCTGCCATGCTCAAGCTTCTCCTTATGTCTGATCATTCCTGTGGCCCTTTTCTACCTTATCTCTATCCTCTGTGAGTTAGAATGACCTAAACTATGCACCCTATTCAATAAGTCTGAGCACAGTGGCTTTCAAATGGTGTGACCATGTGTCCTCTTTTGTTTCCTATTCCTTTCTTAGTGGTTTTTAGCATTCTGCTGGGATTTGCAGTATGACCCTGCTGACAAGTGAAGTGAAGATTTCAAGATTTTCCCAGCGTTCACTCCTGAGAAAGAGATAATTACAGATTCAGAGCCTGTCACTGTAGATACATACTTAAAGGTAATTTTGTGCCCATACTTATTATTTTGCACTTACCAGTGCAAACATTTTGTCATCTGCTCACTTAATATTATGTGTCCCTAAGATGTAAGCCTTAGCTGTCAGCTTTAGATGTGATTATACTGAGTAATTTTGTCATGGCATTATTCACTAATTTGTCAGGTAGTTTGTGACTAGATTGAGCCTCACAAGTCCCAAAGCACATCTCCGAATGGGATCCTGCTGGTTAACTTGTGACAAAATGACACTTATTTCCTATATCTAGCCATGAGAGGAATGTTGCTTCTACTCACTGATTGTTTCACTTCCAGGATTGCACCGTCTACCCTTTTGTAGCCCATAAACAACATTTTTCCCTTCGAATATGTTGGAAAGCATCACAGGGACAGATCAACTGTTTATTTGGTTAGCTTCAAAAGCTCTTTCACTGTCAATGCTTAAAAATCAGCCATATGATTCCTGTAAGAATCAATTAGGTTTGGCTTTTTGTATGCACAGTCTTTTGTATTCTATGCATCATGCACGTATTTTGTTGCAAAGGCATCATTCTGAGACACATCTTGTAGTAACAGGCAACTGACATTTTTTCATCCTTTAGGCAATGTGAGCAACATAAGAAGTTATAAACATTTAAGGTGGACATTGCTAATAGTTTAAAATATATATGAATTCTGATAATTGTAAAGTAAGTGGCTTTTTAATTGCTCAGACTCTTTAGCCACAACCAATTTAATGATTTTACTTAGAGCATAGGGGAACTTAATGGCAGATGTGAAGTTAATTCTTATTCTGATGACATTTTTAGAACAGAATTTGACCCATGCCTCCCTTTAGTTTTTGCTCTCTGTTAGAAAAATGATGAATGTTTTTATGGTGGACTATGAGCAGCAGCTGCAAAATCTGGTGCAGCTTAATGTGTGACAAAGCTGAATATCACTCTCTAATTCATGTGAATAGGAGCCAAACTAATATTCCTTATTGGGGTAGAATGCCCACTGAAATGTTTTTATGGAATTAGAATGGCAGATTCATCATGGAAATTTGGGAACTCCCGTTTTGGGTGCATTGAAAATGTGTTGTTCAGATGAACAAGCTATTTATACAGACATGTGGTGTAATACTGGGTACTCATTTAATCTTTCAGTAATCCAGATGTTACCATATGGACAAACTGCACAGATTGATTTGTGAAGGCCTCACTGCATAAATGAATACCCTACTTCTGTTAATTTGCTGAGCTTTAATGTTAGTGTTTTAGGAAAAAAAATGCTTTCCAGCACATAGTTTATTTGCAATGACATATAAAATGAGGCTGATGACAATCAACACAGGTTTAAGGCAGCTCAGCTTGTTTGACAAGCAGCTTGTGATGGTTTGGACTGTTATCTGGAGGGCTTTCTTTCAGTACTTCATTGCTTGTAGCCAACGCACAGCCTTTCCAATGTGGAACCACCTTTGCACGTACATACAGAGAATGCACACAGTTTCCTTTACCGTCTTGCTTTCAGTGATGTACCTGCATTAATTTGGCTTTATGCCGTAATGGGTTATTTAGTTTTGTTATCAACCTCTGCTTTTTCAATCTTCTGTCCTGTGAGGAACTGCCATATTCCTCCTCTGTAGTTCTCATTCCCCAGGGCATATACAAAGGCATCCACCGTTGGTACAGTCT